AGGTAAATAACAATGTTCCAGTTTATATATTACTAGTTTCTAGGTAAATAACAATGTTCCAGTTTATATATTACTAGTTTCTAGGTAAATAACAATGTTCCAGTTTATATATTACTAGTTTCTAGGTAATTAACACTGTTCCAGTTTATATATTACTAGTTTCTAGGTAAATAACAATGTTCCAGTTTATATATTACTAGTTTCTAGGTAAATAACACTGTTCCAGTTTATATATTATTAGTTTCTAGGTAAATAACAATGTTCCAGTTTATATATTACTAATTTCTAGGTAATTAACACTTAAAAATGTACTTACTAAGAACGGAGAGAAAGGATTCCTTACGAAAGAGAATCATATAACCTTGAAGAATATGGCAGATAAGGTCTTGAAGCTGTAATTATTGAATGTATCAATACAGTTTAAAAGAACTAAAATTATAACCTTGAAGAATATGGCAGATAAGGTCTTGAAGCTGTAATTGTTGAATGTATCAATACAGTTTAAAAGAACTAAAATTAACAACAAAAATTTATATTATTGGAAGCATACTGTTGAATATCTAAACATATTTTGTGTAATTTAATTGTTTTAGTGTAAAAAACTTCACGAATGATAATAAACCCTGCAAGTGATTTTGTTACAAAATTAAATTTATAAAAAAAAGCCAAAAGCATATAATTCATTAAAAAAATCTATATTGTAGACTATTGTAGATATGACCTGTTTTTGTTAATGACAATGATATTCCTTTTACTTTTCCCAAACCAATTCCCTACAAAACTTACAATGATTTTTTAAAAATGAAATAACTAACATATATACACAGAAAACAAAAACATACAGTAGGTAACATCAGTACAAAACAGAAGAGGATTTGTGGATTTAAAGAAACATCAGTACTACATATGCTTTTGAAAAGACAAGAAAGTTAAAATGTTGCCCTTGGCCATTTACGAACTGTTGGGATGTCATCGATATCCCAATTTCTTCCTTCTCACAAAAGAAGTATTTAACCAAGCTGCACTAAAAGTAGTACAAATATTCACAATTTAATTTAGTATCCAATTTAGGCTTAATAAAGTTGTATAATTCGAGTTAGTAATTTCTATCATTTTTAGGTTGTGAAGTTTCCAAATTTTGTTTTGAGAAACTGTTTTGAAAAACATTAAAAATACTTCCCTTCATCTTAAAGTTATTTTATTTTTAATGTTGATCAATAAGTTCCAGTCCTTTCAACTTGATGACATGATTTAACTTTTTCTTCTTTACAACTGCAGTAGTCACTATTTTAACTACAAATTATAAATAAGACAGTAAAACCTAACAAAAATTTATTGGTGACCTAGGTCTTCATCTTTGGCATCACTATTACTTTTGTCAAGCTATGTATTTTAATTTTTGCTATTAAACAATATTCTTAGTTGAGATCAATTTATATGTAATAAATAAGGTTTATTTTCAATAAATAATAAGTTCATTTTATCTGTATGTATTGTTTGAATATGATAAATAATATTCAATACAAGAATATTTTACCAGCACCTAGCATACCCTAAACCTAACTAAGCTTACCTGATGTTTTGTCATAAAGAAAATTTTTGTAGCATCCAAATTTAACTTGAAAACATTTTGAAGAATGAAAAAATGTCTAAAGAAGATAATAAAAATTCCCGGGTCTGTGACTTGTTTAGAAAAAAATTTCTTCTAAACTTCTCATTTGTTTACTTCTAAGGGAGCACCAGCTAGTCAATGTCTCGAGAAAACATAAATTACTGCTCAAACTACTTTATTTCTCTACATTAACATAAACAGTTTATAATTTGCTCTATCTAATCATATTTAAATGTTGGCTATAGCTATTTTCAAAGCTGAGATTCATCAGTAAATGTTTAGACCACATGCTGTGACATAATAAAAGAACAGCAACGAAAGGTTGTAGTAATAAAACCACGAAAAGAGAAGGATAATCATGTGAGAAACAAGACACAAATTATTATATTCTTATGAGTTGATATGTATCTTAGCAAATATAAACCTATATTTTGCGATAGGCACAAATATACAAAGAGAAGGAGAATCATGTGAGAAACAAGACACAAATTATTATATTCTTATGAGTTGATATGTATCTTAGCAAATATATTTTGCGATAAGCACAAATATACAAAAAAAATCAATAAATACATTTTTTAAAGAGAAATTACAGTTGCAACTTTTTTTTTAATTTATATTTTACAGTAAATGATTTTATGAAATGACATAATACCTATTCTAAAATATTTTTTAGTTAAAAATGGCTGAAACAATTAGAATTATTACTTTCAACTTACATTTTGAGATTTGATGTGCACTAGACATTTGAAAGGTGCACACTGGTCGTGACAGGATTAATAAACGTGCAATGATTCTGACATGGAACAAATGTATATACTCATTTTACATTTATCTAGAAAACACCAGGTGAGATTCAGAATGTTGATGCCAAACAAAATCTGAGGTTGTTGAGTAGTTGTAATCGATATATTTTTACAACAATAGAACTCACTGAAGACATTGCTTCTCATTAACAATACTCAATACTTGAGGAGACAGATTAAACAAATACACTATAGAAACAAAAATTAAAATGTACAACACTAATAGCTGGATCAACTTTGCTGAACAACGATACATTCCACAAGCAAGGAATAAAATTAATTATGTAATCATAAATAACTGCTATAAAAAAACAAATAACCTCAATAAAATTAAATACAAAAATACACTGGTGAAAAGCCAAGCATATTTTGTCTACTTGAATCATGTTAGTGTAGAAAAGCCTTACGAATAACAATAAATAATATAAAACTCTCATTTCAATACCTATGCCAAGTAGCATAATTTCAAGCAATAAGCTGTTAAATAGAGATTTTAAGATATTAAACTGGAAATCAGACTTCTATTTTTAGGAAAAGACCCCTTCCCTACAATGTTTTGTGGTAAGGACAACTCCAGAGTTTTAGTAAAGATATGCACATTCTCCATGACTCATGATAAAGGATCTGATCTGCACTGTAGTGCATATCTACCAGGCTCTAATTCTGTAACAGTGAAAACCCAATACATATAATAAAAGCAATAAAATCTCTCAGTTTTGTGTAACGTGACATATGCACTATAAACAATGTCGAAATTTGGCATAAAAATAGCTTGAAGTATAAGGGAATATTCATGTACATGTAAGCCTAAACAAAAATGTAGTTTACTAAAATAGCTTGAAGTATAAGGAAGTAGTCATGTACATGCAAGCCTAAACAAGAATGTAGTTTACTAAAATTGCTTGAAGTATAAGGGAATATTCATGTACATGTAAGCTTAAACAAAAATGTAGTTTACTTAAATAGCTTGAAGTATAAGGAAGTAGTCATGTACATGTAAGCCTAAACAATGTAGTTTACTAAAATTGCTTGAAGTATAAGGGAGTAGTCATGTACATGTCAGCCTAAACAAGAATGTAGTTTACTTGCCCTTTTGACACATATGCTTCAAAGTTTTTTCACTGAAGGCACTTGAAATAAGAAATAAATTTTGTCAACCCCTAACAGGTGCCACACCCACCTTCCATAGTTAACATTGAGCTTTACAAGTTACACGTGCTTTCAACATTTATGTTTTTATACTTGTTAGTAAGAGCTCATTTTACACTGTAATCCAACAATGGTTATTTAAAAATTAGTGCTATGTTGTCGGCCTCAGGTAGATGCAACTGCTCATACTATTGTTGGCTGCTTCGTTCAAGATAGCTCTTCAGTTGTTTATAGTTATAGTTAAAGAGACAGTTAATTTGCATCTTGGTTTAACTTTTATATTTTAGTTAATTATGCATTATTTATGTTTTAAAATTCATATTTGAAGGGTTTAATAATTTTTATAAAATAACCAGAGCTTCCTTTCACTCTGTAAGGCTTACATTACCAAGTGTGTATAAAAAGATTTTGCTGGAGGCTAATGTATCTCTGCCGTTCATACCCTTCTATTGCCCATGGGTACCCGTTGACATGTGTCAATATAAATATTAACCAGTGAAGAACAGGAAAGGAAAATAAAACATTATAAATAAACTATAAGTTAGAAGGTAAAGACATGAAATTATGCGTATGACCCAAAGAAAATATTTTAAGATTATTCAACAAAGAGTTAGAAGGTATGTAGATATTTGAATCTCATAATTTTAAGCATTTCATTGTACGTTATGCTTATGATAATAGCTAGAGTCGTTGATTTGGTAGATAATGGAAAAATGATATAAATATTTACCTTAAATTTTTTTTTTATATTCATTTAGGAAATTCTAGAGGTTATGCAAGTGAAATGTGAAAACTTTAACATAATAAACATTATTTTTATACGCAAAATGAAAATCCCCTTGCAGGTGAACTAATTAGAGTCTGAGTGCAAATAGCTACATTAAATAACAAATTTTATAAGAAATATTAGAAAAAACGAAAATTAAATATTATATTTTTCTTAAACTACATACTTTTATGAAAGTTTGCGACAAGTTTTAAACGTCATACGTCATCATTTCTGACAGAGAAATAATAATAATAAAAATAAAACAAAAAGTAAAGGTTTTTAATCTTATTTCTTCATCCCCATAGATACTGTTTGTAAACAATCGCAATACTGTTGGTTAATTTTGTTGTTGTTTTCGCTTCACGCAATTAGAAGATTATTTTAAATCTTGTATTCGCTAATGTGTCAAATTATCGTTATTTTCTCATGCCTGATGATGACCTAATTAGAATGTCAAAACGTTACTTGGCCATATTTATATGTACATGTGTATCTCTCTGTAATAAACATTTCACAAGTTAGAAACAATCTTATCCACTTAAAGACAGTTGCCTAATGTGCTTCAATCTGAAGCACGTTGTAGTTGTAGGGTTAAAACACTTACAATATAAGAAGTAAAAAGAAAAGGAAGAAAAAACTAAATTACAAAAATGCTTACCTGGGAGGCATCTATACAAGAAACAATGAGGTTTAACAGTTCTGCATTTCCAACAGCAATATTTGGAAACTGAAACAAAGAAATAAACTGATTTTTACATACTGAACTAGAAACAATATTTATATTATTTAGGTATAAATATTTGTCTACGTATTCATATACTGGAAGTTTGATGTTTGGTAGTCTTGCAAGTCTGGCCGGTACTCGGTTAAACAGTTGGTTCACACACATTAGTGGAGTGATAATTAATGGTTACACATTTAAAATACTGACTTAAGGTGATGCAAAACATTTTTAGGCAATAAATTTGCCAAATTACTTTTGTACTTTTTAGACAGATTTTCAAAGTTGTAATCCTACAAAGTGGGATGATCAGTGCTTACTTGAGTGTATATATCTGGTATGAGAAAACAAAACATTTGGACATCTTCTTCCTGGCACATCTGTGAAAAAAAAAACCTCTAATTGATCATATTGACACTTGAAGCATTACATATTACAAACTGAAAATGTAAACCCTCTAATTGATCATACTGACACTTGAAGCATCACATATTACAAACTGAAAATGTAAACCCTCTAATTGATCATGTTGACACTTGAAGCATCACATATTACAAACTGAAAATGTAAACCCTCTAATTGATCATACTGACACTTGAAGCATTACATATTACAAACTGAAAATGTAAACCCTCTAATTGATCATATTCACACTTGAAGCATCACATGTTAAAGACTGAGACTGTAAACTCTCTATAAGTCAGTCATACTGATATCTGAAGCATCACATGTTAAAGATTGAGACTGTAAACTCTCTATAAGTCAGTCATACTGATATCTGAAGCATCACATGTTAAAGACTGAGACTGTAAACTCTCTATAAGTCAGTCATACTGATATCTGAAGCATCACATGTTAAAGACTGAGACTGTAAATACTTTATT